TTAATTTTCAAATTCAGCGCACTCGGGAAGTTGTGCTCAAGGAGCTCTGTGGAATCGGGGTCTGTGCTGGATCAGACTTTCCCATGAGTAACTCTAAACACACCTCCAGGATGGGGACTCTGCCAGAGCCAGGCTTTTCTGGGAATGAATCTTCCCTAATAAACAATATTATCTTCATTTCTTAATTTGCAAATTCAGCACACTTGGGAAGTTGTGTTCAAGGAGCTCTGTGGGATCGGGGTCTGTGCTGGATCAGACTCTAAACTCACCTCCACGATGGGTTTCCCGAAGGTTTTCCTCTCCAGCGCGTACCGCGTGGCCTCGTCGAGCGCTCGCCTCGCCAGCCCCACGGCCCCCGCTGCCACCTGGGTGTGCAGAGCGCGGGGTGAGCAGCAGAAATTCCCCTTTCTTTGGTGAACAGCCCATCGCCGCTACTCACAGGGGGCCTGGTCTTGTCAAAGGCGCCCATGGCGATCTTGAAGCCGGCGCCCTCCGCAATCAGCACGTTCTCCTTGGGGACACGCACGTCCTCAAAGACAATCCCGCGCGTGTCCGAGCAGCGCTGGCCCATGTTCAGCTCCTGGAAAAGGGAGGTGCCACTGGGTCAGATTCTTCCCAGGTACAACCAATTCTCTCCTTTATTTCGCTTAAAGAATAAAAGGAGTTTTTTTATCTTAAAAAAACACTTCAGTTTTAGCTAAAACCCACCAGAAACAAGAAATCCCAGTTTGGACTGCCCAGCCCAGTAAACCTATCACACCTGAGCAGGTCACTGCTCAGTTCTGGGGCTGGAATCCCTCCTTTGGCCTTTTCTGGTTCAATTTCTCCTCTGGAGGATTTAATTCTACATATAATTAAATTCCATCCTCTCACATGGGAGAGAAAACGGTCAAGAACCCACTTGCAGCAGCTGCGAGACCCAAGCGTGCTGCCAAAAGACAAATACATAAATAAATCAGGTTTTCAGGTTCCAAATGTAAAACCAGGGCCTCCATGGTGCAAGAGCAGCTGAAATTGCAGTAAAATGGGGAAAATTCTGCCAACACCTTCACTCCCCCTGGACATCCTTGGGAGTTCCATGTTCTCAAAGGTGCTTTTGCAGCTGGGTGAAATTATCTGCTTTAAGCCCTTCTGAGTAATTATTTATCTGAATTCATAGAATTATAATTCTGTTGTCTTTAATTATATTTATATGATTATATGTAATATAGAATTAGGTATAATTCTAATGATCTTACATATAATTTGCTTATATAATTTAATTTGTATATTATCTATTATATAAATTTATATATGATTATATAGACAATATAATTATTACATATAATTATATGTAATTATATGTAACTGTTATATATAATTATGTACAATTATTAAAGAAAAGTTAAGAAATATATATGTATGTGTGTATATATATAATAATATAATGTAATGTAATATTATGCAATATAATATAATATATTACAATATAATATATTAATAATATATTTATATATTAATAATACATTAATATATTGATAATATATAGATATAATATTAATATAACATAATGTATAATATAATGTATAATATAAAGTATAATATAATATAATATAATATAATATAATACAATACAATATAATATAATGTAATATAATGTAATATAATATATTGTAATATAATGTAATATAATGTAATGTAATGTAATGAATATAATATAATATAATATAATATAATATAATATAATATAATATAATATATAAAATATTAATATAAGATAAGGTATAGTATATAATATATAATATATAATATATAATATATAATATATAATATATAATATATAATATATAATATATAATATATTATATATTATATATTATATATTATA